CCAAGGACAAAAGATGTGACAGTCAGAATAAAGAAGCTTAAATGGAGATGGACAGGAGACATACAGTTAGGGGACCAGACAAATGGAGTAAAATAATAATGTATTGGTACACAAGATTTAAGAAAAGGAAAAGAGGTAGACCATTCAGGAAATGGGTTGATGACATCAAAGCAGTAGGTGGCAACATATGGACCAGAACAGCTAAAAATAGAGAGTTGTGGAAAGTAGAAACAATTGGAGGAGGTCTTTGTCGACGAAATCGATAATCCTGTCTTTATATTATAGAGACAATTGGAAACAGAAGCTTGAACTTGAACTTTATCAACGTCTGAATAAAGGGTTATTATTATTATTAATAATTCCAGCTGCTCAATTTCACCATCGCACATCGCAACCGAACCCGAGATACCATCCATAAAATCTGAATTATTGGCGGCGGTCCACCACTGTGTGCTTTACAAGAAGTTTTTTTCCTCGCACAACTTCCCTGTGGAATCGACTACCACCAGCGACTTTTCCGGAGCGATACCTTCAAGAAAAGAACCTGCTGTTTATTATATATAAGCCTAGAACTTATAAGCTCAGTGGAGCTCTCCCCCGAATGACCCCGCCTTAACGGGGTGAGCGGTTTAGTAACCGAGACTTGGAACACCGATGATCGGCCAATGCGAGGTCACTCCGAGTGGGCTTGGCGAGCCCACTATAGAACTCTGCCTTCGGAAGTCACTCCTGGTATAACCCTATAATATAAAAAAAAATCAGCAAAATCGATTCACAATTGATGAAGATAACATGCAGTATAATGAAAACCTCTTTTTTTAAGTCTGCTAATAATAATATTTCATTTTATCTTGTGAGTGTTCTAAGAAAGTTTACGTTTATACGTGGTAGAGACATGCTGCAGTTATACAATGTGTCTAGTCATCGGTGTTGGAGACTTTGTGGAGTTGAAATACACTATCCCTATTTTTTTTCTCTCCATTATATATGGCAGCCGTTTTGATTTTTTTGCCTCAAGGCACGGGTGCTTGTACTGATTAAACCCATGTAGAAGTCCTAGGAAGACAAAAGAGGACTCTTTTGATAGCTAATTATGTAGGCAATAAAATAATGATAGCAATTTTACCGTTTCTTTTTTAGAAAAGAGCGAAAGAGGATTTTTAAAACAACCAAAGTTTTTTTGTTTACTTTTTTTAAATTATTAGCATTTTCATAAAATCTAAACTGTTAAGCTACATGTTTTTTTGCTTTTGTACGTTGGTACAAAATGTGTACTTAAAAACAAGTCTTACAACTTAGCTCTAAGTAAGATAGTTTAGAAGTTATGACGGTTTGAATATGACACTTGAAAGGAATTACAAGGGTGTATCTTTATGCCGGCTGTACACGCTCGTCGAGACACCACGAGACAGGCCTAGAGGTGAGCATTATTAACATTATTCTTAAAAACTTTTTGCGTTTTTTAAATATTATAACATGTATAGTTTTCTTTGTGCATAAACATTTAAAGTATAAATAAATATTTAGTGTACATAAATAGACATATAATTAGTGTAAATAAATAATAAATAATTTTTGTGTTAAGTTAATTTTCGTGTATTATGTGGATAATAAAAATTATAAAACCTCACGATGATATATAAAAATATCGTTCCGTTTTCGTGGAGACTTTGATGTGTAGTTTTAATGTCGACCTTTGACTTTTTGGATATTAAAATGTCATAATACAATTTGCATTTTTCTGCTTGATTTTACATGCGCAGTGGACGCTAAGTATTATCATCTTTCGCTCTCGTTTTCATCGCGATACTAACGAGAGCCTTTGACTCGAGCGCAAAAAACCGACACGCTTCCGAGAGCGCACGAGACGCGACGCGACGCGACGAGAGCATCCTGTACACACTCGTACTCGGCCTGTCTAGACATGGGTGTAACGTCTTTTGGACGTAATCGGTTGTACGTAGTTTCGTGGATATGAGTAACTAGTTTCAAAACTGCTAATTTTTGTAATTAGTTACATCTGTATACAGTATAGCGTAAGTTAGTTTTGCGTTTGTGTTAGGTTATGATTACGAAAATATTAACAGGTTATAGATATTGTGACATTAGTTTAACTGTGTTATGTTATGATTACGAATATATAACAGTTTATAGGTATTATAATATGCGCGCGACATCGTCAATGTTAGTACTTTTGTACAATTTTATACTGTCACAAAATATGTAAGTACCTAAGTATTATTGTCCATCACATCACATAATTTTTATGATTCACATCTTGCGTGTAAGCCATACCTAACCCGAACGGACTCTTTACTCTCGTTCGTATTATCGAATATCTTAATAATAATCTGTTCAAAACGAAACGCTTACGTGAGCGCCGGTCATTGTGTGTGTCAACTGCGTCTGTAAAATAATCGTTACATTTTGTCCACGAAACTGGATATACGATTATCAGGCTCGTAAGCAGTTTCTGAAACCGATTGTAAAATGATTGACGAGCGTGTACAGCCGGCATTAGACAATGCTGTGTTTTGTAAGAGCACGTAAAAAAAGGAAGTGTTATTAGGTAAGAGTGAGACAGAATATCGCTTGTGCTTAGATTATGGCGCACTTATAGGTAGTCGTGCCTCGCCCCGCGTTGTGATTACGCTCTCCTGTCTATTGTTTCGTTATTGGACTTTTTGTTTTGTAGTGGACTCAGTTATCGTTTTTTGGTCGATAAAACTTAACTAAAATGGAAGACATCCATTATTCAAGTCAGGAAGTGGCTAACAACTATTTCGTTTATGATTTGTGCAACGGGAACGCTATTGCTGCTGTAAGAGAGTTTGCGAGAAGATTTCCCAATAAACCGATGCCGAATGCTCGCACATTCACACATAAGAATACACCTGCATCTCGCTAAAAATGGTATTAGAAGACCCGCTAACGAATGTACTCGTTTAGTGTTACCGCAAGAGGAAGAAGAGATATTACAATTAGTTTTGGGTCTTGAGCGATCAAGTGTCAGGCGCAATGCAATTACTCGGTTTATCCAAATGGACAGTGTGGAAGATTTTTTGATTGATGATTGAAACGGGAAGGATTGCATCCACACCATTTTAGAAGAGTGTAAGAATTAAATGAACCAGATTTTGCACGAAGGTCAGTTTTTTGTTCGTCGATTTCAAGAAAAATTTTTTGAAAAATATTTGTGGACCGACGAAGCCACTTTCACACGACCAGGGAACACAAACCACCGCAACAAACATCTGTAGATCCACAATAGTCCTCATGCAGTGAGACAAAGTACTTTTCAGCACCAATTATCGGTGAATGTGTGGGCTAGAATGATTGACGATATACTGATTAGGCCTCTCATTTTGCCAGCCACGATGTATGGCCCAAGATTTTTAGAGTTCCTAAAAACTGATTACCAAGACGCACTAACGGTAATACCACTGGCTTATAGGTCACGAATGATACTACAACTGGACGGAGCTCCGGCACATTTTAGATTTTTTAAATGAACTATATTCGACCTGGATTGGACGAGGTGGAACAATCGCTTGGCTACCGCGTTCTCAGGACTTGACTCCCCCCCCCCCCCCCGTTGATTTTTACTTGTGGGGCACAATGGAGCAGAAAGTATACGTCGAAGTGCCAAATACACGCGAGGAACCTATTGAAAAAATTATACAAGTTGGGAATGAATTGAGGTGAGACAAAGACATGATCCGACGCGGTACACATGTTGTTTCAATTAGAGCAACATTTGTCTGCTATACCACGGAGGATATTTTGAAACGTGGCTGTAACTTTTTTGATTGATTTTGACAGAATAAACAATTATGGTAATCGATTTATTTTGTTTTGTTTTTCTTTTTCTACTCCAGGGTTAGAAACACTACCATGTTTAAATCACCATAACTTCTAAACTAACTTACTTAGTTCAAAGATGTAACACTTATTTTAAGCACACGTTATGTACTAACGTTCAAAAATAAAAAACATGTAGTTTGACAGTTGAGATTGTATGAAAAAGCCAATACTTTTAAAAAAATCTAAAAAAAATTGTTTTAAAAATTCTCTTTTGCTTTTTTATAAAAAATTAACGGCATTTGTTACCATTATTTTATTGTATACATTATTAGCTATCAAACGAGTCCGCTTTTGTCTTCCTACGACTTCTACATGGGTAGCCTATGGCTTAATCAGTACAAGTACCCGTACCTTTAGGCAAAAAAAAAAACTAAACGGCTACCATTTCATAATGGAGAGAAAAGAAAATAGGGATAGTGTATTACAACCCCCCAGTCTCAGAGACCGATGACCAGATACATTGTATTAGTAGTATAGTTGTAGCACGAATGGTTCGTCTCGACCGGGGAAAGACCACGCTCTCACAGAATACCCGCGTAAAATAGTAGCTTAATGCTGCTGTATTTCGTATAGTGTATACCGGAGACCCTTTTTACTGGAAACGAGGCATCCCATCTTAGTCCTCACGGGTGACAACATATCTGCATTTTGATTCTTAATCGAGGATCGATGTAGATGTCTATGGGCCACATCAACCACTTACCATCGATAAATGTTTGTATAACCGTTTCTTTTTTACACAATGTAAAATAAGGAAGCAACAAGACATTTTATATTGTAATCGCAAACAAGCCTGCGAAGCATGGCGATTATGGCAAATCCTTCCTTCTACGAAAAAGGCAATGGACTGGTTATATTCTAATAAAGATAACAATAAGACATAATATATTAAAACTTTTCTCCTCCTTGTAATATTTATAATTTAGAGATCTTTTATCTACTTAAAAATTTATGTGTCGGGTAAAAAAATGAAACATATAGAAAAAAGTTTTATTAACTGTATTACATTAAAGTGGAGTATCACATAAAATGCTTGTATAGCTTTTAGCTAATTTGTAAATGTTAAGTTATGACCATTTTTTATTTACCTGATTTTCATATTTAATATAGAACAACTTTTTCTTTCTTATTTTCAGATACTACTTTAGAATTCTGAAGAGATTTGAGAATTTAAGAGAACTTTTTAAATAAATTTAAAATTTAAATGTAACAGATCTTGTTTATTTGTGTATAGAAATAGTTTTTCAATTAACTCAAAAAGTAATTAAATAAAATTTCAATTACTTCATTTATGTTTTACATAAGATTCACTCTATACCATGAAACAAAATACATGTATTTGAAATAATTTTATCATTGAAAAATTTACAAAAGATATCTATTAAAAACAGATTTATTTTATAAGTCTGAAATATGTTCTTTTTTAGACTTAACAAAGTCTGCTTAACAATGTTTGCAATTTTAAAAAATTGTAAACAATCGAACATTCCTAGATAAAAGCTAGTCTAGTCAGGTAGTTGATAGAGTTAATGAAAATCTATTAAGCCACTTAAATGCATTTGTGGTTATCTCTTATTATTATAATATAGTTACTTTAGGTACTATTATAACAAAATAGGGAAAAATTTTCTTTCTTATGAGATTACTTCATATAGAGCAACTTAGTGCGACGTTTAAGAAATCTTCAAATCCTATGGTAACTGTACCATTTTGTTGAGTGTCACGCTTCCTAAAGGCTTCCGTGAAACGTTGAATTTGAACGCATAATACAATAAAGCTATCCACTGAAATTTTTCCTTCTTTCGGATCACTTCTCTTAGCTAAGAAATTTACAAATTCCGGCGAAAACCGAAACCCCATTTGGGCTAGTGCTGAAATGTAACAAAAATATGACAATTAGACAAATGTATTTGTACGTGATAAAATTTTAAAAGTAATTTATAATAAGTAAGTACACAACTTATACCTTTAGACAACTCTTGTTCATCAATTTGCCCCGACTGATCTACGTCATACGTTTTAAAAACAGCCAACCATTGGTTTATATAGGTGTATAATTTGTCGAATTCTTCAACATTGATGTGCCCAGAACGATCTTTGTCAAACATGCCTGAAAAAATGCAAAAAAAAAATCAATAAAGCTATAGATAGAAATATAAATTATGGACTAAAAATCTAAAGGATTAATTATTACAGTGGATAACATAAATATCAATGTTGTGTGTGGCAACCAGACAAAATATTAGTTTTGTGTCTATTTGTGTATTGATTTTTTATTACATGCTTTTTTGTTTTTAAGCTACAAAATCCGGTTGTGACCGAATTTAAACTGTTCGTCACGCTCGATCCCTTTGATCCAAAAGTTGCAGGTTCATATGACACTACACAATGTATGCATTCACATAGTGATAAATAATTCGCTAATAGGATATATAAGGAGGATAATGGATGTGACGCACCGCGTCCGCAGACAGGCTCGATACATGGATGGTTCTCACTGCACCAATTGACTGACAAAATAAAAAGTCAATAAGTGACCTGTTTCTTAGAGTTAGTGTGTAGTTGTTGAATCTATATTAAATGAATTGTTAAAACTTAACAGCCTAATTGTGTATGAAGTTTTCGAACGTAAAAAAAAAAACTAGGAATTATTGGCAATTTTAATTTTTTTTCCTGTTTTAAACAATTAGCGCTGTAGCAACTTTTAAGATTAAGCGTTATGGAACATCGTCATTCCATGCGAAATTGCGAACGCTGTTATTACGCAACTAAGCGTAATTTGCCGTTACAGGGTTACAGATGTAGCTGAAAGTCACGCACTACTGCAGTGCTTTACTGACCATTTTCTGCAAAATACTGCAAGGTGGCAGCCCCAGTGTACAGTTCCCAGCAGGTAGGAAGACATCCCAGAACCAAGTGCTTACCAGTGATGAACTGTTAAGAGAATATATGAAGCCAACATTTGCACTCGCAGATCGCAGAGTTCGCCAGCTCTGCGATTTAGAAATCGAGGACGATGCTTAGTGTAGGCTTATTTTTTGGCTTATATTTATTTACCGACGAATTTGCTTATTATGGTGTGCACCTAGTCACCAGAGCATACTCCAGAATCCTCAGGAAGTTCATCCTTACCAAGACGAAAACATTATGGTGCGGGCTCAAATTAGCTTGGGAGGAAAAACATGCAAGTAAACCTTGACAAGTTAGTGCAATCCATGGTCATCTCTCGGTGATAGCAGCTAAGCTATCTTGAGTGTTGAATGCATTCAGCGAGTATAATATCACGGTGCGGTCAGAGTGTCAGAGTGGTCCTCTCAGTCCGCCGATCTTAATCCTATTGAGCATGCGTGGGATTTTCTTGGGACAATAGCTTTCATTGATCTTTCTCAAAATTTAAACACAGATGAAGAGCTTTTTTGTCGTTTTGTTGAACTGACCATTTTTAACTGTAATAGGCTATGATTTGAATTGAAATTCTACAAATAAATTTTATATTCAAGACAAAAATATATACATTATATTATTAGTACATATATTATACAACAAGTGCCCCAGCACGAAGTGACCGCCGGACGTCTTTTGATTACTTGGACAATACTATTAACAAATACCATCAAAGTACAGGCCTTATCTGTTTGGTTTTTTTTTATTAGGTTTTTTTATTTTTTTCATAGAGAAACCTGACTTGCTGCACTATTTTTAGGATATGTTTTTGTTTTTACATTTTTTTCGTTACTAGTTACTATCATAGTTTATCAATTCGAGATATAAAATGAACCCAACATTAAACAAGGCATTAAAAACGTGGACGTGTCAAGCTCAGTGATGATCCCCGTCAAGGTCGTCCAAAAACTGCAGTCACCCAAGAAAACGATGCTGTGCGTAAGCTGATTGAGGAAGATTGACATGTGACATACCGCGAAATTCAGGCAACTTTAGACATTGGCATGAGTCAAATACAAATAATCTTGCATGAACAATTAGGTGTAAAATAGTTGCTTTCCCGATGGATACCGCATTCGCTCTGTGAAGAGCAAAAAGCGGCTCGCGTTACTTGGTGCGTCAGAACTCTCGAAAGATTCCACGCAGGATCCTCAAATGCTGTATACAACATCCAGATGACGAATCCTGGATATACGCGTACGAACCCGAAACAAAAAACCAGTCACGAGTTTGGGTGTTCGAAAATGAGTTAAAGCCAACAAAAATTGTTCGTTCACGGAGTGTTGCAAAAAAAATGGTGGCCACGTTTGTCTCCAAAACCGGCCATGTTACGACTATTCCTCTTGAGGGACAAAGAACGGTTAATGCAGAATGGTATGCTAGCATTTGTTTGCCACAGGTCGTTTCTGAACTCCGTAAAGAGAACTGCAACCGCCGCATCATCCTCCATCACGACAATGCGAGTTCTCACACCGCACACAGAACATAAGAGTTTTTAGAGCAAGAAAACATACAATTTTTAGACCATCCGCCGTACAGCCCCGACCTAAGCCCTAATGATTATACTTTCCCTAAAATAAAGAATAAATTGAGTGGACAGAGATTTTCATCACCTGAAGAAGCTGTGGACGCCTACAAAACGGCCATTTTGGAGACCCTAACTTCCGAATGGAATGGTTGCTTCAATGATTGGTTCCATCGTATGGAAAAATGTGTCAAATTTCGCGGAGAATACCTCGAAAAGCAATAAATACATTTTTAAATAGTAATGTTGTGTCACCTCCTTCAATTCATTTTCAGTGCCGCCCTCGTATTACCTACAAAATATCGTAACAATGTTTGTAGTTATCTCAAACATTTGCCGAACTACAAATTGTTCAAAAGCAATGATATTATAAGTGAAAAGGTGTAGATAGGTTACCTACACAATATTCGATCTTCAAAAACGGCACATTAACGCATACATAAATATCTAACTATTGCAATAGCACACACTACATTACGATTAGACGTCAAAGTAGGATGATATAATTAAACTTTCGCAAGTGTAAAAGAGACAAATGTAATTTGCGACAGTGCGTGGTCTTGTGTAGGAGGAAGAACGATGTAGAATAATTAATCAGATATGACATTATACCGTACACGGTGATTTATGTGTAAAACGCGATTCACTCATGAGTGCACGTGGTAAAAGTAATATAGTTCATAAAAGATAGCTTGATCTCTGCGACAGCTGTCAGTAAAATCACGCCTATGAAGTCCTGAATTTCTTAGCATGCCGACCTAATTAGTGCATGCCCATAAAGTATGACATTGACAGGTACTGTCTGTACTACTACGAAATTCAGGACTTCATAGGCGTGATTTTACTGACAGCTGTCGCAGAGATCAAGCTATCTTTTATGAATCATAGTAAAAATGTATTAAGACGAGCTCTTAGCACGATTTCAAATTCGTTTTTCACCCGCGCGTCCCGCAGTGGGCGGAGCGCAACCGACAGTCGGAGAGCGCAGCGTGAACACAGTAATTCACAGTATGCGCAAAGCAAGCAGACAATTCACCTCTAAGCAAAAACTTTTCCGTGAGGTCTCCTGATTGCAATAATACTAGGTAGTAATAATATTTTGAGTACGTTCTCACTAATATCAAAACTGTTTACGAGGTCTGGACATCAGAATACATTTTAATTATCAATTTTTTTAAAGTCAGTTTTATGATATAAGCAGGCAAGCAACATTTCAAACGCTAACTCACAAATTCTAGAAAAACCAAAGTTTCGTTGACAAAATAGCTAAAATAACAGAAAAAGGATAGCTTCAAATAAAACCAATAGAAATTCAAATTTTATTTACACATCAATTCAACATTCAATAAACATAACCTCACACATAATATTATTTAAATAACCGGCCGAAGTAATAGAAAAAACCGGTCAAGTGTGAGTCGGACTCGAACGTGAAGGGTTCCGCAGCATCATATAAAATTTAGTACTATGTATGAGGGAACTTTTTTAAAATTTATTTTTGAATAAAGAGAGTGTTAGAGTATTATTAAATGTTGTATGATGGTGCAGAACCCTTCATGGGCGAATCCGACTCCCTCTTGGCCGATTTTAATACTCATCATCATCATCATTACAGCCCTTCACAAGTCCACTGCTGAACATAGGCCTCCCCCAAGCAATGCCACAAAGCACGGTCCTGAGCCACCTGC